TCAGCAGGAAAATAGTTCAAAAGCAGCTGTGAGATCTGGGCTGGGGGTGACGCGAGGCGCAGAGAGAAACCTGGTGTGTGCTGGGGACACTGAGCTTCAGAAACTGAATGTCGATCGGTAGTAGTGAAGAGATGCTAACAGTGTAGGTGGGGTGGGGGAGAAGTATTTTAGGGTAAAATTGCTTTTTATTTCCTTTCTAAAATGGCAGGTTTTGAGTAAGAGATGTCAGACGAGATCCAGGATTGCTCATTCAGCCTTGCAGGCACTTCCCCTTGTGAGAGAACGTACCGGCATTGCTGGAACCGAACGTGACTTATTTTTTTTCTCCTCTTTCCCAGGGAAAATCTCCCCGTGGACGGGGCGTTTCTACTCCCTGCTGGATCCTTCCTATGCAAAGAACAACATCCCCATCATCGCCTCTGTCTCCGAGCACCAGCCCACCACTTGGTCCTCCTATTACTTTGACCTCCAGCTTCTCGTTTTCATGTTCCCAGGTGAGCCCAAGCGCGGATGTCATCAGACCCTGATTTATTCAGTCACCAGAAAGGGGTTTATTTTATTTTCCGGCTGCGTCTGCGGCCTCCCATCTCCGTGCCGTGCTGCATGCCTCTGCCAACCAGTTTTTATTTCAGGTGAACCTGACTCGTTTCTCTCTCCTCTTTGCAGTCGGGCTGTATTACTGCTTCAGTAACCTCTCGGACGCCCGCATTTTTATCATCATGTACGGCGTGACCAGCATGTACTTCTCTGCTGTGATGGTGAGGGCGTGAGGATGACGAAATGCTCTTAACAAAGCTGATTTAATTTCTTTTTCTGATCTCGATGATGGTTCTTCCACCTCGTGCTGGTCAAAACGTTCACGAGGCTTTTTTCCCCTCGCTCAAAACTGGTTTATTCACCCCTCCGTGCAGCTAGGGAACGTGACGTTCACCTAAAATTGCCCAGGGGTGTTAAATCGAGGTGATTTCTGCACTTTGGCCAAATTCGAGGAGTTCAGAGAAAATTCCCTCGGGGGTTTCTGATATGGTGCAGCAGCTCCCAGTCTGCACCCGCTAAAAAACCCAGCAACGGTTTTACCTCGAGGCTGACGTTTCTGCTGAATTCAAGGTGCTGAACAAGCGATGGCATTTAATGTCCCTCTTCTCTCGGATTTCTGCCCGGATTTCTTCTCCGACAGTTCTGCTGTTGCCCGTAGGTGCGTCTTATGCTGGTGCTGGCCCCGGTGATGTGCATCCTGTCCGGCATCGGGGTTTCTCAGGTGTTGTCCACCTACATGAAGAACCTGGATATCAGCCGGCCGGACAAGAAGAGCAAAAAGCAGCAAGACTCCACCTACCCCATCAAAAACGAAGTGAGCATTGGGCTGGTTCAGGACTGGGGAGAAGACACCTGGTCCTGGTTGGGGACAAGTGCGGGAGGCTGGTGGTCTCTTCCCTCCAGCGCTGACCCCGATTTGTTGCCCCAGGTTGCCAGTGGCATGATCCTGGTCATGGCTTTCTTCCTGATCACCTACACCTTCCACTCCACCTGGGTGACCAGCGAGGCCTACTCCTCCCCATCCATCGTGTTGTCCGCCCGGGGAGGGGACGGCAGCAGGATCATCTTTGATGACTTTAGAGAAGCTTATTACTGGCTGCGTCATAACACGCCGGAGGTAAACGGGGGGTAATTGGGGCGGCAGGGACCCGAATTGTCTGCTGAGGTGCTGACGGCACGTCTGGCGTTTGGGTGCAGGACGCAAAGGTGATGTCCTGGTGGGACTACGGGTACCAGATAACTGCCATGGCCAACCGGACCATCCTCGTGGACAACAATACCTGGAACAACACGCACATCTCCCGCGTCGGTCAGGTAGGTCCTTCCCTCGCCCCACCGCCTTGCACCGCCTTTCTGGGGCACCACGTGGCGTGACCGATGCTGCGTCTGCTCCAGGCCATGGCATCGACGGAGGAGAAAGCCTACGAGATCATGAGGGAGCTGGATGTCAGCTACGTGCTGGTGATCTTCGGAGGCCTCACCGGGTACTCGTCTGACGGTAAGATCTTGCTCTGAGCCAGGTCAGACCCGTCCATGGAGCCCCTGGTGCCTGTGAAACGCTGGTGGCTCTGAGGAGCAAAGTCCCACCTTCAGCTGAGGCTGCAAAGTGGAAATGACACCAAAATGCTCCTCTGAAAGCTGCACGTACCGTTTCTGCTCCTGCCCAACTCAACCCCTCGCTCGTCCCCCAACCCAACGCTACTCCACGCTCTTTGCCCTCCCCCAACTCGACTCCTTGCTCGTCCCCAACTCGACTCCTCGCTCTTTGCTCGTCCCCAACTCTTTGCTCTCCACCTCTCAGACATCAACAAGTTCCTGTGGATGGTTCGGATCGGGGGCAGCACGGACACGGGGCGCCACATCAAGGAGCACGACTACTACACCCCCACGGGGGAGTTTCGGGTTGACCGCGAGGGCTCCCCGGTGCTCCTCAACTGCCTCATGTACAAGATGTGCTACTACCGCTTCGGCCAGGTCTACACCGAGGCCAGTAAGTCCCCAAAACCACCTGCTGTGGGGGATGACGCCACTTTTGGGGCGCCCGGCCTCCAGCGTCTTCTGGGCGCTGCCTGTACTCTGCCCTCTCCTAGAGCGACCGCCGGGCTACGACCGGGTGAGGAACGCCGAAATTGGTAACAAGGACTTTGAGCTGGATGTGCTGGAGGAGGCGTACACCACAGAGCACTGGCTGGTCCGAATATACAAGGTAGAGCCCCAGAATGAGCCTGAATCCCCCAAATTTGGGAAAAACCATGAAATTTCACCTAACCCAGCTGGTTTTTACCACCCAGGTGAAGGATTTGGATAACCGTGGCTTGTCGAGAACGTAGGGGGGCCTCCGCCGGGCCCGCCGCGCACCGC